TAAGTTTTTCAAAAGACATCTCCTTTTATCATATGATTTGAACTACATTTTATCCTGCTCTACCTGTTGTTTGAGTTTTTTTCAGTCATTTCTGCCTGGACAATTTAAAGTCATTTCTCCATGCCTTCATCAGTATTTCACGTTCATTTCATCAATTCGCTTGATACTTGTTTATGCATCTTGAATTTTACTCACCATTTGTCTGGCGTATAATAACCCTCTAGGTTTTGTGCCATTTAAAAAACCAACCAACCAACCAACTTGCATAACTCAAAATCGAGTAATTTCAGGAACGTTGAAATTTTGTGTATAGGACTGCTGAAACATGTAGTTCTGCACCTTCCATTTTGGTTACAATCGGCTGCACCAAAAGTATAACATATGTTACTGTGAAAGACCGAAATTGGAGAGTGTCGACTTTCACCGGAGAATGTCAACATTCACCAAATACGTCGGTGAAAGATCGAATATTGCATTACATTCTTGTACATTCGGACCCTCACTGGTGTATGTCGACAATCACAGATATGCTCTGGTGTAGGTCGAAAAGAGGGGAGTATATGTACACGCTGACACTGCAAAAGGAAGTGTTCCACAAATAAATGCGGATGCAAAAGCAAGGGCCTCTTGTGCAATTCAAAGTTTCATAACAGTTTACGTTGTTGCAATAAATAAGATTCGAATCACATAATTTAGTAAGTTTTTAACTTCTACTATTTCTTTCACATTTTGAATGTACTGTGTTTTTAAGTTCTTATATTCTTAAGTTCTTATTAAGTTTTAAAAGCGTTTTTCGCGACTGAATTACGGAGAAGAAAATATAATATTCTTATGTGTTTAACATTCACCATTATTACATGGTGAATGTCGACATTACCGGTGTAAGTCAAAAATAAGAGTATTTGGAAAATATTTCGGACATCACCAAGCGACTATGTGAATGTTGACATTCACCGGTGAAAGTCGACATTCTCCAGATTTCGGTGTTTCACCGTAACATATATATATATACACCCACTCTGTTATTCGGCTCAGTTTTTTACTCTTATTTGCTGTTAAATTGTGCATCTTTTGCTTTCAAAATGATTGAATTAAGGTTTTTATTTAGTTAATCTGCATGCGGTATTTGTAAAATTATCAACAATTTTAAATTTGCTTAAGCGCTGTTAAACTTTTTTTTTTTTTTTTTTTTTTTTTTTTTTACCAAAGCAGTCATATTTGTTAGATTTGAAACTTAACAGAATAGTGTATTAATTCTTTCTGATCCTTCAGTGTCTTTTTGCCGAGTGGAACCAAAAGGAAACTTAGTTTTGTGCGCCAAAAAATCTGGCCAAATTATCCGTTTTCACGCATTTTAAATGTAAATTGTTTTACTTGGTGTTTATTGTTTTCTGTGTAGTTCAATTTTTAATGAAAATATTTTTTGAGTTTTTATGTATTTTTGCCTTCCTGCAAAGTGAGAACTGAATTAATTGAATGAGAAATGTATCCCTAATCAAAAATCGAGGAAATAAAATTTAAATGAAATGGAAGAAAAAAGGTATAATTTAGTATTCCGTACAAGAAGTCGTGGTGTATATATCAGCTTTTTAATACATTGTCAAGTATAGTATTGCTTTGATTACTAAATTCTGAAGCTTTTGATTAGTTTATATATATTCTTTATTTAGAACATTAGCTAATTTTTTCTTGGGAAAGGGGGTATTGCAGTAGTTCTTTTATAACAATTGCATCGACATGGGAGTGTAATATGAAAATTGAAACAATTTTTTTTTTTACATTTGCTCTATATTCTTGGAAGTTCTACAAAGCTGAATTATGAGCTGCAGGATTTTAATGTTAAGCAACAGTATATACTTCCTAGTACTGGTGTGCAGACTCAGAATTCTGAAAGACTGATTCAGAAAAGTAACACAGTGAAATAGAGTGCAACACTACTTAGATATGCATTTGTCATGCGGAGTTTGTATAGATAACTATTTTGAATACAATTAGATTTTTGGCTGCTGGAATAATTTTTGCAAGTATATCCCTTAAGTACAGACATTCATTTTCTGTTATTAAACACAGAGGAGAGGTTTCTCAGACCACATTCTATTTTATGCATTTTAAAGTAATGTACTAGTGTTATTATAAAAGCATTAATGCACTTTGATTTTATATTGCAGTAATTAACTCTTTTTAAAACTAAAAAATTAATGCATTAAAAATTTTTTAAATCGCATGTGAAAAAGTATGGAACACTTAATCAAATAAATACAATAAACACTAGTTACTTGCAAATACGTACAAACTAAGTTATTTATTTAACAAACTTTCCATCTATAGAATCTGGATTATATAAAATAAAAGTGTAATATATAAGGAATATTAAAAGAACTGCAGCACATTATTTTACCATTTTCAACACAATTTTTTCAAATTCTCTACATATTGCATTTTTGAAGCTAAAACATAGATAGGTAGTTCTCAGTCTAGGGGGGACAAAAAAAGCATGTTTTATGCGTTATAAGGATATCTGTTACATCTGGTCTAGAACAGATTCCACTGGAAATTCCTAGCACTCTCTGAATGCACTTTTTTATTTCTCGGTTCACAGTTGGCTTTTGAAGCCTCTGTTCCATATGTGGTTTATATGATCTTGATGATAACTCCATCAAAAATTCGTTTTTTTCCCAATTTGGCACTATTTCTTAACGATTGTATTACATGTGCATTAATTCCACTTATATCAAGTAACCTAAAGAATATGGCCCTTGGCCATTTCCTTATTCTTCAGCTTAGAACCTTCGGCCTTGGTTTAGAGCATTTTTCATCTAATGCATCTACACCTCCTGTAGTCACATTGTAAAATATTATTTCTGGTTTCTTAGTTTCAAGGTCTTCTGATTTTGAATGATGCATTGAAAAAATGAGAATAACACTTTTTAATTTTTGAGGCACATATGAAATGAGAGTCATTCTATCTGTGAATGCATAAAGAGAAGATCCTTCACTCAGATCCTTATTTGGAAAAAATTCACCTGGTATTTATCTCTTATTTTTTTCTTATGTATTACCGACATACAGGATGTGATTTAAAAGTTTGAAGACTTATCTCAACTAGAAATGTATTGGACATTTAAGTACAGCGGACTAAAATTCTTCAAAATATGATCCTTCAGCATCAACACAGCGCTGCCAGTACGTCTTCCACTGTTCGTAGCCCTTGTGGAATGTGTCATGCTGTCAAGGGCTCTCGTTGAAGCCTGCTGAATGGAGTCAAATCGTTTCCCTTTTAGACCTGTCTTGATTCGGGGGAAGAGGAAAAAGTCACTTGGAGCCAAGTAGGAGCTGTAGGGTGTCTGCCGCAGTATTGTCACGTTGAACTTGACCAAAACCGGCGGCGGCGTTGTCGTGGTGGAGAATCCAACCGCCCTTGATCGCCAGCCGGACTCGACCCCTCAAGCGGTGCAGCCACTTTACAGCCCAGACTTGGCTCCAAGTGACTTTTTCCTCTTCCTCTGAATCAAGACGGGCCTAAAAGGGAAGTGATTCGACGAGAGCCCTTGACAGCATGATGCCCGAGGCCTTCCAGAAGGGCTACGAACAGTGGAAGGCGCGCTGGCGGCGCTATGTTGATACTAAAGGATCATATTTTGAAGAATTTTAGTCCAATAAATTTCTAGTTCTGAGGTAAGTGTTGAAACTTTTGAATCACACCCTGTATGTCAAACCTGTAGAGTTAAGTTTTTGTACAAGTTCGACACTCAAGTAGAAATAAAGCCATCTCCCCCTCATGCCACAAAAAACTAACATAAATGCAGAGGTGAGGTCTATATAACCGCTGCCCAATTAAAAAAACTAATTGATACAGTTTAATAAAAATTTAGGAATAGTTATATTTTGTGTTAACTTGAAAGTACTGAGAAGGAGAGAAGAATAACTATAACTTGTAAGCAGTTTCGCAGTTTTAAAATATTGGCGCGGTCATATAGACCCCAACTCTGTGTTTAAGGGTTAATGAATTTGTAAGATTACGAAGCTTGTATTCATATTTAAGTTTTTATTAGGTATATTTGTTGATTATCTAGCAAAATATAGGCCAATGTATGTCCTCAGAATGATCACAAATTTGTCGAGAACTTTGCCAACTTTCACAGTCAATGGGATTCAAGTGCTGAACCATCAAAAACCAGATTGCTGGTTTTTGGATTCTCTGATTTGATGTGTATTTACATAATTTGTATTTGAATCCTTATTGTATTTCAGACTGAAAATGCTGATAAATGAAAAGAACTGTATAGATATAGTGAGGAATGAAAACAAAAGTGGTAGTACTAAAAATGATTTAAGTAAGATACATTTTAGCAGAAGAAAAATTGAAGGACAAATAATTATGTGTCAAATTATACCCCATTTATCAGATACAAGTTTTCTGCTCTTGTTTCGTTTCCTTTTTGTTTTGGCATTAGAAATGTCCATATTTGGTTTTTTTTACTTTTTGTGTCCCATACCATCCCATTACATTACGAGGCATTTATTTTCCATGCAACCTAGCATGTATTAATTACCATTGCAAGAGACATAATTTCTCTTGTCCAAAGCTAATAACTGATTCTTACAATATTCTGATATGATATATCATAAGATCTTTAATATTACTACATAACCATTTGAATGATTATTTAAAATTAAGAAATGCTTATATATTCCTTTATTTTGTTCATTTTAATATGTCTAATTGATATAATTTAATTAACTGTTATAATTCAGGTAATAATCTTTATGAATATTGGAGCAATTTTGTAATTAATAAAAGATTTTTCCAATGCTGTAAGTTTACACATTACCAAAATAGTTTTGTGAAATTTTTTTCAGTTTCTTCAACAGCGAATTTAAGCATTTTTCCCAATGTAGTTTAAAATGTATTTTCATTGCAAATATTATTTATTACTGTCATATTGGAAAATTGTTTAGAGCAAATATTTAATGATTTGCATAAATAAAATTTCTTAAGATTTGAAGCATGAGTCAACTGAAATTTGTAATTCAAGAACAGATTAAAATGCTTTCATTCATATAATAAATAAATCAGACAAAAATGGTAATAAAAATGTTGCGAATACAAATGATACTGTAAGTAATACATTTTTTTTACAAAATAAAAATTGAGAAATATAGGAAATATAATGGTTACAATTCATCTTTTTTGAATTTGTCAGTAGAATCTCTAATCATGTTTGAATTTTCTGAAATTGAATCCTTAATCAATTTTTCAATTTTTTTTATCTGCTCCATTTCATGTGAAGTAGTGCGTTCTTTTGCCTTGTCTTTATCACTTGTAGAGCCTGAAAGTATATAAGAATAGTCCCATATTTAGTAAAAATAGCACTTTTATTCTTGTGACAGTTTTATTAATGTATTTTTTTAGTATTATCAATGTTTCTCCTTAATATGAAAGACTGAGAAAAAGCACATCATAAGAAAGGGAAAATTTGATTTTGAGCTGAGTAATGTTTTTATGAAAATGAATTGTAAAAATTCTGTAATTAGATTTTTTACGCAGTGCACTCGAAATAGAGTTCTTTTTTTCATCCGCTTTCAGCTGTCGGATGTTTCATCGAGCGTTTCCCCCTGACACAGGAAATGAGTGATGACGTAGTCATGTTGAGACTAACGGCAAAAACGCAATTCGCAGCAGAAAAATAAACGGGTTAAATTTGGAAAAAAAAAAACTTAAAAAAACTGCGTGAGAAGATAGTTTTAATTTAGAAGAGAGGATGTTATTACTGTAAGCATTATATTTATATATAAGCATTAAGTTAATAATACTTATTAATTAATTTTCAAATGATAAATAAAATACGCTACTTTTTCTTAAAAGCTGCAGTTTTTTCCCTGTGCATTTATTATTAAATTATGAACGAAAAACACTATGGCATTAATTACCTTTACTTCATCAGCATACTAAGTGGGAGAATTCTATTACTCTTTCAAAGAAAACTATAACAACTTCTTAAAGTTAGGGAAAAAAAAAAAAAAAAAAAGAAAAGAAAAGAAAGAAAAGAAAAGGAAAAAAAAAAAAAAATGTTTGACGTAGTTTTTAATATGATGTCAATTTTTTTTTCTGCGGCTAAATAGGAACCCATGTTTGATTGCCCTTGAAATCGATAGTTTTATTCAAAATTTAAGATTGTTTTTTTTTTACCTAATTATAAATTTTACATTAGAGTGTTTCTCTTCCGATTTGATATTACAATATATTTTAGAAATAATTGTCTAACTTATACTCACATTTATAAACATACATTGCATTACATTTAAATAAATACAAGATCCTTGTCTTAAGTTTGACAAAACAACTTTGCTCGAGTACCTAAAGAGAATTAATTAAGCTTTCAAAAGAGGAGCAAAGGAGGAAGATTTTTTTTTTTTTTTGAAATAATTTTGATGTTTTGTATGATTATAAATTACCTAAAATGCAGAGCCGGCTTTGTTTCTTATAAATTATCAACACATTCATGTTTATTTTTACAGTTAGTGCATTCCGTAACATTTACATCATCATCTGTGAGTTTTATTTTAAAATCATTAGTATTTGATTTATTATTCTTCTTATCATCATTTTCGTAATCGGCATCAAAATTAATTTTATTCAGTTTTAATTGTGTAGTCTTTCAAAAGCAATCTGCATTATTTTTCTTTTCCTAGTACAGTATTGGATTTTAACTGTTTCTTTTGGGGCAATCCAAGCAAGCGATTTTTCGTGTCATCTTCACAATCACCGCATAGAAAAAGTTCGCTGCAAATTCTTCCGTTCTTGACATAAATAGTGTCCTGTATCGGACATATGTAGTCATGTTTTCCGCCAAAAGCAAATTGTTCTTTGGAAAAATTTGGAATCACTGTCTTAGTCATTTCCATGAATTTTATGGCACTTTCCTACAACGCAAGAAGGCATATTACATAAATGATATTTTACAACAGTAGTCTCAAACTTACATTGCATATGGGCCAATGCACAATTTGAAAGTAGCTGATGGGCAATAATTAAAAAAAAAGGGGCGGGATTTTTTTAACAAAAACGAGATATTTGTAAAAACATATGAATAAAAATAACGTAAGCGAAAATATCAAATTTATACCTGTATTTTGCCTGAAATTTCAAGTTGGTATCTGCAAAAAATTTCTGTTGATCACAATTTGGTATTCAAACAGCTAAATATTGAAATACGACAGCTATATATTAAAATTTTCAGAATGGAATTTTATTCAACTAATTTTAATATATTGAACTACTAAGTACTTTTTAATTTCAATTAAAAAGAAATATACGAAAACTTCCCAAGAGAGATAAAACTTGAGAATAAATAATGGCAACCTAATTTCCTCCTTTTATTTATTAGATTTTCCTATGACGCAAAACAGAAAAAATAATATTTGTATGTAAATTATTGTAAACACCTTTTTTTAGTCCAAAGGGGCTTTGTCCCTGAAGGACTATTGTTTTCGTTTTGCGAATTTGCGTGGGACTCATAAACGTCGGTTCACTTTTCAAACTGTTGCCACAAAATGTTAGAGTCCTGCATTATATTTGAAGAAATTAAATAATGAAAAATCTGCATAAATGATTGTCTATTTCTCGCATTGTGATAAAACAATGGTACATAGAGCCATCGAATTTTGAATGACGAAATCCTACCGCGAATATGGGCATCTGAAATCCCAAATTTGAAATTTGTTTTATTATAGATTTTATATTTTGTAAAACTTTAACGAATTTTTGATTTACAAACTCAATGCTTTAAAAGCGAGAAATGGCAACGTTATATAGAAAAAAAAAAAAAAAAAAAAACTTTTATCTCCAGCTCGCGAGACTGTGTATATCGGAAATTCTAAAGATATGCTTAATTTAACATTATTTTGCGATATTGCTCTTGAACTGAATTTTATGGTTTAAGTGCAAAGAACATGATATTTAATAAATAAAGGTAACACTCAAAACGTTAAAAAAAAGCCCCTTTGGACGTAATTTAAAATCTGAAACATTTCAGATTTTTTTTTTTTTTTTTTTTTTTTTTTTTGCTGTACGTTTCAGCTACACCACATCGTGACGTTTCTATTTTCGTGAAGTTTGTAATCTTTGAGGGAAATTACTAAAGAGTATCATCGGAAATTGTAGAAACTCATTAACTGTATGGTTTTTTTCAAAGACTTCTTAATTTTCAACTAAATACGAAAAAATTTCAGATTTTACATTACGCCCAAAGGGGCGTTTTTTTAACGTTTTGTGTGTTACCTACAATTGCTGAGCTAACATCACTCATTTAACACTTATAATTCGAGAAATAACTTGATGTTTAACTTTTTCTTTTCATTAAAAAATTTGTAGGGTTTATATTTATTTTAACTAACATTTATTTTAAGTTTAAACTATCTTTCCTGTCAAGCCTTACTTTCCCCTGGAATTGCCAATGCCAGAGTATGTAAATTTTAGTAGAACGCGCAAGTATTCAAATTTCAGCGGAAGTAATTCTGAGTTAAATAGAAGGGAAACGAGTTCGAAGTGTGCTTTCTTGCTTCACGAGCGTGGAGGTGGCTAGGTTAGAAATTGAAGAACCACGCGTTTCGGCCTGTGTGCTTGCCTCGGCAGATTGTTAATCTTTCAAATTCTTAATTCAGAAGTTTGCTGAATTCAGCGGTATCTTAGAACGCGGTTAAGGTTAGTTACGTTTAGAGAGCCTCGTAGTTAGTCACTTGTTAGTTATTCATCTTCATTATTTTTAGTTTCTTTTTATTTTTATTTAACCGCCGGGTCGGCGTAGTTTGTGAGCGTCAAGAGCACGCATTGTAATTTCTAAAGTTGAATAAAAAGGGATTTAAACCCTTGTCAAGACTTTGTGTAATTTCCAGTTCATAGCAGTCACCACTATTGTTGCGTGCAGGTTGGGGCGCGCAACATTACATTGGCGCCCGAACACTTGTCGAACTGAAATGGCCGAAAATTGGATGGAAGCTTGCTGGACAACACAACAAGAAATGGCAAGCCAATTGGAAGGATTTGGATACCTGGTCCAGACGATGAGAGCGTCAATCAAGCCAAACGTCAATTTCGACGGAAAAAATTCGGTGGCGATATTTCTAGAAGGCCTCGAAAATCACTTCCAGCTCTACCCTGTGCCTGAAAGACAAAAAGTTGCCATCGCCACATCTGCACTAAGAGGACAGGCCTCGCTATGGTGGAAGAATATAGGCAAATTTTTATTAGGGGAATTCGGAGGCCAGACATATACATTTGAAAATTTCAAAAAATCGTTATTAAAGGCCTTCCCCATAGTGAAAGATCGAGCAAAGGCTAGAAGCCGAACTGTATAGTTTTTATCAACGGAATATAGAAGAGTTGACGGACTTTATTCTGCGAAAAATTAAGCTGACGGATATGCTGTATGGGAAGAAACCCGACGCGGAGATTATTGAAATAATCTTACCAAGATTGCTTACCTGCTGTTCAAGATTACTTCGAAGTTAGAAACCCAAGCACATTGCAGAGCTCTTCGAATTGGCGGTCAAGTTCCAAAATCGCAGAATAGCGGAAAAAACTAGAGGGGCATCGTATTCTCAAAGTAGCGGAAGGCAATCTTCAAATGAGCAGACCAGAAATGCAAACCGCTCTTATGGGGGAAAGAGCTATCAAGTTAACTCATCGAAGCTCGAAGGTCAAGGCCCAAAAAGGAAATTTGAAAACAACCGTCCGCGTACCCAGAAGGCAGAAGTTGAAAGGAAAGCTTTAAACGAGTAGAGGGGCCTGTGAAAAGCGAGGGTCCAGACCCCGGAAGTTTTGAAAAAACCCTCAAGAAGATACTTAAATACGGTCATCGTAAAGAACTCACAATTACCAATTATACAAGTCCTGGTTGGCGATGTACCAGTAGAAGCCCTCATCGATACAGGAGCAGAAGGTAATTTTATGAGTGATACATTTTTTAAAGAAGAATTTTAATAGGTTACGATTATTTAAAAATAAAAACACAGAAATCATAGCAGCGCAAGGAAAAACTTGTCAATGTATTGGGAAATTATCATTAAAATACAGGTTCAAAAGATGAAAGCCTTAAAGTATTAATTTTTGTAGTAAAAAATTTGCAAAGTCCACTTATTTTTAGGTATGGAGTTTTTAAAAGGGCCGCGAAGGCCAAACTGAATTTTCAGGAAAGTTCTATTGTGCTGGAGATGGATCGGAGGGTGGTGGAACCAGTGGAACAACCGCAAGTTGACCTTAGCCATTTGAATGACCATGAAAGTCAAGCCATCCAGCAAGTGGTGAGTACTTTTTCAAACTTGTTTTCAG